TTCGCCCTAAAAGCTGTGGATACTGCAGGTCAGTTGGAGGTTTCAAAAATGCACTCGGTGAACATCAGGTTAACAAAGATACGTAAATCACTTTGAGCTGCAAATCAGTTATCACCTAATTGAATAGCAGGCTGGGCCCAAGGAGATGAGTAACCTATTCTTGTTTCCATATAAATGATATGAAGGTTGAATGGCCTCCTCCTGTTCCTAGGTAACAAGCACAAGAGGCTGCTCAGCCTCCTCCTGTTTCTCTGTAAAAAGCAACATGGCCCAGACTCTCTTCTACTGAGGGACCGAATAGCCTCCTCTTGTACTGATATTGTAAACCCGATGATGTAGCCTACTGCTTCCTCTATGTAACAGGCATAATGAGCTGAATGGCCCTAATCCTGACCGGCACATTCTGAAACAAGGTTTTCTTTCCACAAGGAAGGACACTGTGCGGAGAAGTGTGTTGGAAGATGAAGGCACACTTGGATTGACTTCATAAGCTTCTGAATTTGAGGGCAATTTATTGACATGGTTAGGAAATTAGCTGAAACACAAGAGACAGAGGGCTGAATGGGTAGGCAGGCACTCTCTGTCAGGATGTCACTCCATGGCTCTGAATCAGAGGCCATTTCTTATGAGTAGCGAAGGAAGCTGGCTGGTTGACATGTGCGGCATCATCCTGTTCATTTTCGAGCCAGTGCTTTCTCACAGCACTCCATAATGAATGATCAAGATGGATGAATATCAAAATGGATGGGTTTGGTTCAAGTGGGACAGAGACGGGCGTGGGAGGAAGTTCACGTCTCAGAAATCTCTTTCCTGACTTAAATCCCACCTCCAAATCCCCATTTTCTGGCTCTGACTGAGATTTGTAAGAGAGCAGGTGAACAACCTAGTCCAAAGGGGTGGTTTAGAACTACAGAGGGTCTTCACAAAATCAAGTCATTAGTGTAAGGTGCCAAACATAGAAGAGAAGTGGTGTTACTGTGTCCATTCCCCTTGCTCACAAAGAACCTAGCATTGCCCTTCTCTGAGAATGTCCCTATGATGCACCTCAGGGCATTTTCCAAGATGCTATATAAATGCAAGCCATTGAAAAAGGTGCGTGTGTTTATATTTGTGTGTGGATGTGCATATTTGAGTGCATGTTTATATGTGGATACGTCACAGAAGAGCAAGACTGAGTTTTCTTCTGCTGCCCCTCCCATGATTGAAAAGATCGATCTCGCTGTCCGGGTAGGAGCACGTTAGAATGACTGCATGGCTCTTAATAGAGGGAGCTGGCCAATACGTGTGGCATTGCACACTCATACAAATCATGGCCTTCAGTAAAGAAAAAAAGTCGTAAATGATATATCAGTCAAATGCAGCCATTTAATCCAAACTACTGCTCTATTTGTGACTTCAGACAGAGATATACTTTGCTTGGCTTGGTTGAACGGGTGTTAAGGAAATCACATTGTGCCAGTAGAATTTTCAGACATAAACACAGATCTTCCTTTCAATAACCATCAAATGCTGCTAACTAAGAGCGAGCTCATATCCCTTGTTGAGGAGTACTTGATATCCAACAGGACAAGCTTAAGAGGCACATTAGCTGAGACAACAAAACATCTGTTTGTTTGACAGTTTACATGTCTTATGTTACTGAGATCTGATGGTATACGTTATTAGTATTTTTAAGTTTGTTGAAACTGACAGACCACTCCAATTTGGAAGCTTTATCTACACACAGCTTTATCTAGTCCCACTTCAATGAAGTCCGACAATTTATTTTGTTTCTTTGCTTCTCCATTTGTATAAGCTAGTTGTTTTCTTTTGCCAAATGCTAAGGTCACACTAATTGACACAGCGCAAGTAATTAAGCAGTCACTGTTCACATACTTGAAGGCTCAACTACCACATGGGCGCACACTGCTTTGACAGTAGCACTTCTAAGAGTCAACAGATCAGCAACCTTCCCTGGATCCAGCCAATCATACATGAGAAGTGCTGACTGCGGCACCAAGATAACGTGAAAAGTGATTACGATATGAAAATTAGCCCGAGTAGTGGGAGCACTTATTAGGTGAACCATCATACAGATCATCCTGTGGACTCTCTGGTAGACTCTTTATGTCGGCTTGTCAGACTACTCCAGGAGACAAGAATCTCTTCTCCCCAAGTTGACTCGGGCTCCATGCTGACAAAAGACCTATTGTATCTTACAAATGACTTTCTTTTCCCGACGACTTCAGTGCAGTCTCTGAGCCTGCCAAGCTTCACTCTGAGTGAGAGTCCATGCGCTTTCAAATCTAGTTTCTTTTCCTGCAATGCTGATTAACGTCAAGACTCTTGCCCTTTTCACCCCCAAGGGCTCTGCCTGTTCCTCCACCTGCTTCACCATCGTGTTTCATATCCCTTCATGGCTTTAATTGTTCCCTCCCACTGTAACCTCCTCCAGCTCTATACCCCTCTCCGAACTCTGCATTACCCCCCCAGATAGTATTGGCCTTTTGTCTACCTCCCACTTCCTTTGTCCAAACAATGGCAGGCATGCCTTCAGTCGTACAGGCTCCTTCTTTCAAGGAAGCCTCTTTGAATATAAGCTTTGGACTTCCCTCGTTCTTCATCTGGGCATAGTTAGTGGCTGCGAACAAGGAACTTCACCATGGAGAAGGGAGAAAGGGGGAGTCACAACTGAGATAAATCTTGCTGTCACTCAAGGTCCATGCACGTGATTCCCAACATGAGTCAACCAATAACAATCAGACGACTGGATCCTAGCTCGAGTTAGAAAACAACACTCAGCTATTACTTGAGAGGAAAATTGCCTTTATGTTACTGTCACTGTTTAAATATTGCTTCATCCAATTTCCCTAATCATTTCTTTATCTCTTTTTTGCAGCAGCCCCATCTGTTCCCAGTTAACTTAGCACAAATTAATGTCACATCCTTCCTGCACCATCTTCAGTGTTACTCATTCACAGACACGTCATTGGAGATCAGCGAGCGGTACTCAAAGATGTTGAATAACGAGTATCCAATGAGGAACCTTCCGCAGTCAGAAAGGCTTCCCATTGATCTAATTGCCAACATGGGGAAGATCAGTGGTTGCTCATTGTAGGAAAGGGCTGATCAGGCTGCACTTGTTAGCTGTCCAATACTGAGAAGAAGCAGTTTCAATGATTCAGTGTCTCTGACTGGGCAGGGTTGTCCATGACCAGCTCAATATTGGTGGCTTATCCACTATCATGAGTTGTCGACATCATTGCATAAACACTGCATTCTACTGAGGTCAGACAAAATCTCAGTCCAGCTGGACAATGTCCATCTGTGACTCACCAGCACAGACAAATTGCAAATTTGCCAGTTTTTTTATAGAACCGCTACAGTGTGGAAGCAGGCCATTCAGCCCATCACGTCTACACCGGCCCTCCGAAGAGCATCCCACCCAGACCCACCCCATCTCTGTAACCCTGCATGGCCCATGCCTAACCCAGCTAGCCTGCACATCCCTGGACACTATGGACAATTTAGCATGGACAATCCACCTAACCTGCACATCTTTTGGACTGTGGGGGGAAACTGCAGCATCAGGAGTAAAACCACACAAACATGGGGAGAACATGCAAACTCCACCCAGACAGTCGCCCGAGGCTGGAATCAAACCCGTTTCCCTGGCTCTGTCAGGCAGCAGTGCTAACCACTGAGCTACCACGCCGCCACGTAGATATGCTACGAATTGTAACCCCAGGTTTTAATATATACGTACAGCTAGCTCATACAGAGGGTAGTAGACTGGGAGAACAGCACAGGTGACCTCTTTAGTTTATCTCCACCAGTTGTTGTAACCTCAGCTACCTGAGCTTACATCAAGTGGCACACCCATGGCTCAGTGGGCTTGATCACTGATGAGCCTCTTATTATTGTTCACCAGGATTGATTCTGGAACTGCAAGCTGGGAAGGCTGAGCAGTTGAGAAGAGTGAAGAGCAAGAGGTGACTTGATGGAAGTCTTCAAAATTATGAAGGAGTTCAACGGGGAAGAGGAAGTTTCCACACACATGGAGCAGGCCAAAACCGGGCCCATTAGCTGGCTGTTGGATAACAGTGATGGAGGGGTGGGTGTCAGTGAGTCAGCACTGCTTTATAATTATCACCAAGATTGCGAGGAAATGGGACAGGGGAAATTCGTTGAGCAGAAGGTGCTAGGAGATTTGGCACCCAATGTGGTTGAGGTGGAGAACATTGCATCCATTAAGAGAAATGTGAAACATATATTTGAAGTAAAGGAATATGCTGAGCTATAGGCAGAAAGCAGGGCTGTCTGTGGTTTATTAAGTCACTCTAGCACATATAGACACATGGTCTGATTCTGTGCGGGAGCTGACTATGGCACTTCCTTTTTAATTGTCTCGCAAATCCCACTAAGGTATCCAATCCCATTTTGCTACATTGAAGTTATTGCCAAGCACTTTCTTTGACTTCCCTCTTTCTCTAGTTTCAGGCTTGGCAGAAGGTGGGTCACCTACACGCATCAGGTCTTCAGTGCAAAACACAAGGCGACATGAAAGCCAGGGCAAAATTTTGGCACAAAGCATTTTAGACACATTGAGAAACACATGCACACTGGCTGACGGATGTGATGCAGCCCTCAAACATGGCCTGGTTAAATGCTACATCCTCTTCAAAGAGTCTGAATTGGCCCGCACTTGAACTTGGCAGTGTACATTTCCACAGGTTCTTTGCTACAACAAAGGACTTTCGTCAGGCACCAAGTCAAACAGTTAGAACCTTTCGCTGTTCATAAGGGACATTTAAACACTACAGACCTTTTATTTCTTTCTTCTCCCCTGTGAGAAATGAGTCAAGTGAGGATAGATTTTTTTTTAAAACATTCTAAGCCATTGAATACATCTCTCTCCCTTGCCATTTACCACTTAGAGCTAAGCCTCTACAAATGAATCATTATTTGTTCACAAATTAGCTTTCAGAGGAGATGGCTGCAGAGATAAAAACTATACTCACCTGGAACCTTCGCATGTCCCTTGGGTTTCCCGCATTCTTCAGGCAGTTCTGATTGCATTTCAGAAAGAATTTCAAGAAGAACCTGAAGTGGGAAAGTGAGAGAGAGGAAAAACAGAATTGGATTAAAATTCTTTTACTGAATTAAAGGAAATGTCCACTTTGTGAGAGAATTTAAACAATTCTATTTCCATCGATTGAGTGCAGTGCACAAGCATCAGGATCATTGCTGCATCTGCTCCTTTTATTTCAAGTGCGTGTGTCAACTTTTTAACCTTCTGCTCTATTTTACCTTATTTTCTACCTTAGACTAATAATTTCACTAACCAGACAAAGACAAAGTCAGTTCAAACAAAAACAAATCGGCAATTAATTTAAGAATGTATGAACCTCATGTCCAGATTGTAGGGTAGTCATACAGACCAAGAGAGTTCAGATCATTCCTGGTTCATACCAAGGTCTGTAAGTATATGTAAATGAGTACATTTGATGATACATGTGAATGTGTTTGCAAGTATGTACATATGAATGTGTGGTTGCTTATACATGTGAATGTGTTTATATATACGTGTGAGTGTTTTTATATGTACGTGTGAGTGTGTTTGTACATACGTGTGTTTGTATGTACATGTGAGCATGTTTATATGACCTTGAATGTGTGCTCGTATAAATGTGTGTGTGTTTATATGCCTAGGTGAATGTGCGTGCTTGTATGTAAGTGTGAATGTGTGTATGTAAGAGTGTTTTGTCTGATACGATTCCTGTGAATTACCCTGGGGTGTCTTTTTTTACTGTGAAATGCATGATATAAAGGCAACTTGTTCTTGTGTGTATATCTAAGCACATCTCTGTGTGTTTCTGTGCATGTGTGGGCTTGAATGGGCATGAGTCTGTTTCTGTCTACATATATATTGGTATGTGTCTGTTGTCATATATGTGTATTTGTGCGTTTGTGTACATGTTTATGTATATGTGAGTATTTGTGTACGGGTCCATGCTTCCGCTTGTGTGTGTGTGCATGGGTGTGTATGTAAGTTCCTGTTCATTTGTGAAGGGGTTGATGCAAACTGGACATGGCCAATTGTGACTGACAAATTCCCCTGATAAGTGAGTTGAAAAAAACACTGCCTGCTGTGGTAGTCGCCATGAAAGTCAGCAGGCCTCAGCTGAGAAGTGCTGCTCGACTATGTAAAGCTCTGGCTACAATTCAGTGTATCTTGTGTGTCAGAGTGAGCATTAGATAGGACTGAGTTTGACAAGTCAGAGAGCATTAAACACTCTCAGCCTAGCCTTATGCAGGACAGACAATCACTTACATAAATCAAGGCACCAAAGGGTCGCTGGTGTCTGTGGAACTGCAAACACAGTTCATGTAGATACAAGAAAATATAATGACGCTGCACTGATTGCTTGCATTGTGCTATTTACAACATGTTCCCTGCCTCTGACCCCCAACACAGATGCAACAAACCATTCTATTAACACACAGATGCCCAACAGCCCTTAGAAAGGAGGTGAGCATCACATTCCAGGGTGTTGTCCCAGACTGAAGTATTATCCGAGGAATCATACTGTCTTCACAGAGGCTTTTGGGGCTTTTTTTTTGCACTTCTAACATCTTTCTATCTCACTTTCAGATTCCTTTCGCAAAATACATTTTCATTTACAAAGAAGCGGTGAGGAGGTGGGGGCGGAATCTTGTTGCTGTTTAATTTCTGGTGTGTTAAGAGTGTCCTTTTCATTGCTCCCTATTGTCGAACTGCTACATCCAACTGTGTCAGTCTGCTCGCAACTTGCAGACCATGTTGTCAGTATAAACGCTAGCGTCTGAATGAGAGACAAACGTGTGGCCCTGGGGGAGGTTGGGGGCGAGGGGGGGGGGGGAGCTGTCTGTGAGCCAAGAGAGCCCGTGGAAGACGGTGCTGAATGTGACAAAAGTCTTGCCAGGAAGAACTGAGACGCAGTCACACAACTCCAGACTCCTGACATGCTGTTCACTCCTTGGCTGGTCCTTGCTCTGTCAGCAGCTCGTCAGTTAGTACCCAGAGCTATGAAGGGCACGGACACCCGATCCCCGAGCCTGACCTGCTACAGCCGTCAGGAATGTTGCGCTCGGTCCCCCTGGGGGCCTGCAGCAATGAGTGGGCTGTGGAAATAAGAGGATGCACCATCTGTTGGGAAGCAAAGACAGCCCTGTCAGCCAGCATCTCGAACAGACCCTTATGTGGCGATCTCTTCTCAGAAACTGCCGGTTCAGAGGGGAGCTGCTGGAGGCTCCGGGGACCATCTCCTGAGTGCATCAGGGCACCTCCGAAATGCACTCCCCTTTGCAGCTGCCCACTTTGGCCACAGCAGCCTCACGGAATACTTTTCAACTGATGTAGATGAAACGCTTAAAAATACCTACGCACACAAAACAGCTCCCCCACCCCACTCCCCAAAACTGGGTAATGGTGCGTGAGCCATCGAGATTTTTTTTCTGGGATAAATTTTCCTGGAATCTATAAACAGAAGGACATGTGGCAATTTGCTGATGCGGCGAGTTTTCTCAAATATGGGGGGGGAAATAAAAATCCGTTCAGAGGGAATGTCAGCTGCGATACTTATTTTGCAACCATCCTGGGTGTCAGTTTCAGGCCAACTTCACGACATCAGCAGCAAACCACGTCAGTTTATTTTCTCACCCTTTTCTGTCTCTCTGAGGTTTGGTTAACGCCGAGGCCAGGCCACAAGAGTGTACAGCAGCGAGAGAACAAAACAGCAGATTCAGCGCTCAGAGCAGAAGAAGCAGATTGGCACTCAGTGCAAAGGGCTGTGTATCTGCTGAGCTACAACAGGCACGGTGGGAGGTTAAACTGAGTCACAGTTACTGCTTTACGTTAGCTGTGGGACCACATCTGACAGTGGTACAGCTATAATTATGTATTAAGTGAAAGAAGCCCTTCACCTTCAAATGAAGAAGGTTATCTCCAACTTGTTGCATCAAATCCCACACCTCCCCTCACATTTCATTCGGTTAGCAACAGGGACTTGCAAAAGCCTGCGGTACTGGTATTTAGTGATCACCCTGTTACACTTGTAGCCCTGTTCGACAATGTAACTGGAAACCTGCCTCAGGATCTGCCCGTATTATTGCTGACCTCGGCTTGTGTGTACAATCCTCATCAGTTTGTTACTGGAAATGAGGCAGTTGCATCCCAGGTCTGGCAATATTTAGCCAAGGCTTGATGTGAGTCACTGCATACAATTTACAGTGATATTAGTGCTCCTTTTCTCAAAACCATTTGAGCTAGGTAGTTATCTACGTTGTGCTTTAAAAGATGCTGTCTTCAGAAAATAATGTTCCACATCGATTTGCATAAACGACCTCCAGAGTAGAAGCATCAGCTAGGTTCCCCCTATACAGATCAGGTGGACCCAGCGAAAACCCAAATGAGGTTGTCATAATTGTCTTCAGCACCCTTGGGCTTGTGGGGAGGTGCAGATTTGCAATTCAAGCCCTGAACCGATGGTCCTGTGTTGGGTCAAGATAAACCCGGATCCTGTTGTGAAGCTCTCTGCAAACTTGTTGTTTATCCCATCTTTGGCCCGCCTTTAAACTTGAGCTTATCCAAACCTCTGACTTCCGAATCCCAACTTGCGCCAAGTCCCATTCATCAATCCACCCCCTCTGTGCCCCTTTTGTTCCCGGTTCATCAGTGCTTCAATTTTCAAATTCTCATGACACAAAGATAGGTGGAGGGGCAGGTCGTGTTGAGGAAGCGGGAAGGCAGCAGTAGTGCTTGGATAGGCTAGGAGAGTGGGCAGATAAGTGGCAGGTGGAATACAATGTGGGTAAGTGTGAGGTTATGCACTTTGGTAGGAAGAACAGAGGTGGAGACTATCTTCTAAATGAGAAGAGGCTTCAGAAAGCTGAAGCACAAAGGGACTTGGGAGTCCTTGTTCATTATTATATTAAGGTTAACACACAGGTTCAGTTGGAAGTTAGGAAACCAAATGCAATGTTAGCATTCGTTTCAAGACGGCTAGAATACAACAGCAGAGGTGTACTACTGAGGCTATATAAAGGTTTGGTCAGACTGCATTTGGAATATTGTGAGCAGTTTTGGACACAATATCTAACAAAGGATGTGCTTGCATTGGAGGGGTTCCAGAGGAGGTTTACAAGAATGATGCTGGGAATGAAGGGCTTGTCATATGAGGGGCAGTTGAGGACACTGGGTTTGTACTTGATGGAGTTTAGAAGGATAAAAGGGGTTCTAGTTGAAACTTTCAGAATACTAAAAGGCCTGGATGGATTGGATATGGAGAAGATGTTCCTACTAGTCGGAGAGACTAGGACCCAAGGGCACAGCCTTAGAGTGAAGGGACAATCTTTTAGAACTGAAATGAGGAGGAATTTCTTCAGGCAGAGGGTGGTTAATCTGTGGAACTCGCCGCTGCAGGAGGCTGTGGAGGCCAAGTCATTGGGTGTATTTAAGACAGAGGTAGATAAGTTGTTGATTAATAAGGGGATCAAGGGTTACAGGGAGAAGGCCAGAGAATGGGGTTGAGAAACATATAAGCCATGATCGAATGGAACAGCAGATTTGATGGGCTAAATGGCTTAATTCTTCTGCTATATGTTACGGTCATTCTTGCATTCAAATCTCTCTATGCTCTCACCCTTCCCAAGCTCACTAACCTCTAGCATTCAAGCTTTCTGCATTCCTCCAAATTGGGCCTCTGGCACATCCCACTGGCAGATATGCTTTTAGCTGTCTCAGGCCTAAGCTCTGGAATTCTCCCTCTGAAACTATCTCACATTCCTTGTTCCTCTGTGAGGCTCCCTCTGACCTGCCCGAACATCTCTTCCTGCATCTCAGAGATGAGCCAAATGTGTTGGGAAAGCTGAATGAAGTCCTATCTTTTTTTTAAATTAATTCACAGGATGAAGGCACCATTGGCTAGGCCAGCAATTATTGTCTATTCAGACAGCAGTAAAGAGTCAACTGATAAGCCTGGAGTCAGCCAGACCAGAGAAGGATGGCAGTTTCCTTCCTGAAAGGACATTAGTGAATCAGATAGGCTTTTCCTGACAATAGA